TACCACAATGTATTTTGATAGCAGACTTCATCTCTTCTACTATTAACTTAAATAGAAAGTGAATCATTAAATTATAGGGCATGTCTTTCAAGTGAGAAAATATTCTCCAAACTAAACAGACCTAAGACTGGTTTACTAATTTTGCATATTTTATGTTATGAAAATAATCAAATAAAAATACTTATTAGTTTAAGAACATTCATTACAAACCATATTTCAGCAAAAAAAAAAAAAAGGACTGCTTTAGTAAGTAGCATATTTATCCAAAACTAACGGGGCACAGCAAAGGCAGTCCTGAGAGGGAAGTTCACAGCAATACAGGCCTACCTAAAAAAGAAACATTTCAAATAAACAACCTAGCCCTACACCTACAAGAACTCAAGGAATAACAACAAAGACAGCCCAGAGCAAGTAGAAGGAAGGAAATAAACAAGACCAGAACAGAATTAAATGACATAGAGACTAAAAGCACAATTCTAAGGCTCAATGAATGCAAGAGCTGGTTCTTTGAAAAGATAAACAAAATCAGCAAGCCTTTAATCAGACTCATCAAGAAAAAGAGGACCCAAATATACAAAATCAGAAGTAAAAGACAGATTACATAGATGCTGAAATCCTCAACAAAATATTGGCAAACCAGATCCAGCAATACATTAAAAAGATCAAACACCATGATCAACTGATCCCACAGAAATACAAAGGATTTTAAGAAATGACTACAAAGAACTATATGCCAAGAAATTTGAAAACCTAGGTGAAATGGACAAATTTCTAGAAAAATATAATCTTCCAAAATTCAATGAAGAAGAAGCCAGAACAGACCGATAATAGCTGACGAAATTAAAGGAGTAATCATAAAGCTTCTGACACACAAAAGCCCTGGACCAGATGGTTTCATAGGAGAATTTTACAAAACATTTAAGGAAGAGCTAACCCCTATCCTTTACAGATTATTTTAAAAAATTCTGAAGATGGAAGACTTCCAAACTCTTTTTATGCAGTATCATTCTAACCCCAAAACCAGGTAACACACAACAACAAAAGAAAACTTCAGGCCAATACTGCTGATGAACATAGATGCTAAAATCCTCAACAAAATATTGGCAAACCCGATCCAGCACTACATTAAAAAGATCAAACACCATGACCAAGTGGGATTCATCCCAAGGATGCAAGAACAGTACAATATTCGCAAATCAATAAACATAATACATCACATAAACAAAAGCAAAGACAAAAATCACATGATCATATCAACAGCTGTGGAAAAAGGATTTGATAAGGTACAGCACCCATTTATGATAAAAATACTTAGAGCAAAGTGGGAATAGAGGGAGCATTCCTCAATATAATAAAGTCTATATATGAGAAACCTACAGCCAACATCATACTCAATGGGCAAAAACTAAAATCTTTCCCACTAAGATCAGGAACAAGACAAGGATGCCAGCTTTCACCACTCCTGTTCAACATAGTATTGGAAGTCCTAGCCACAGCAATCAGACAAGAAAAAGAAACACAAGGCATATAAATTGGAAAGGAGGAAGAGCAAAACTGTCATTGTTTGTAGATAACATGATAGTGTTGTACACAGAAAATCTTATAGACTCCACCAAAAAAATACTCAACCTAGTAAGTGAATCTGGCAAAACGGAGGGATACAAGATCAATATTCAAAAATCATAGGCATTTTTGTACACCAAAAATGAAGTATGAGAAACAGAAACCAGGGCAAAATATCCCATTTGATACAGCAACAAGAAAAATAAAGCACCCAGGAATAAACCTAACCAAGGAGGTAAAAGACTTGTACTCAGAAAACTACACAACACTAAAGAAAGAAATCAAGAAAGATACAAATGGAAACATGTACCATGCTCATGGACTGGAAGAAATAATATCATCAAAATATCCACACTACCCAAAGCATTTTACAGATTCAATGCAACCTCTACTAAAGTACCAATGACATATTTCAGATACAGAACAAACATTTCAAAAATTTATATGGAACCATTAACAACCCTGAATAGCTGCAGCAATTTTGAGAAGGAACATAATAGGAAGGATCACAATACCTGATATCAACCTGTATTACAAGGCCAGTGTAATCAAAACTGCCTGGTACTGGCTTAAGAACAGACACATCAAACAGAGAGCCCAGAAATAAATCCATGTCTCTATGTTCAATTAATATTCAACAAAGGGGGCAGAAGCATAAAGTGGAGTGAAAATAGCCTCTTCAACAAATGGTGTCAGGAGAGCTAGACAGCTACATGCAAAAAATGAAACTTGATCGCTAACTTACACCATACACAAAAATAAATTCAAGGTGGATAAAAGACTTATATATATATAAGTCCTGACACCAGAAAAGTCCTAGAGGAAAACATCAGCAGGAAAATCTCAGACATTCCACACAGCAACATCTTCACTGATACGTCCCCTAAAGCAAGGGGCATAAAGTAAAGAATAAACAAATGGGACCTCATCGAATTAAAAAACTTCTGCATGGCTAGAGAAAACATCATTAAAATGAACAAAGAACCAACTAAACGGGAAAATATATTTGCCAATGATACCTCACACAAGGGTTTGATCTCCAAAATATATAAAGAACTCACACACACAACTCCACTCCAGGAAGACATAAAACCCAATCAAAAAATTGGGAGAAGACTTGAACAGATACTTCTCCAAGGAGTATAAACAGAGGGCCCACAAACATGAAAAGATGCTCAGCATCATGAGTCATCAGAGAGATGCAAATTAAAACCACAATGAGATACCACTTCACACAGGTCAGAATGGCCATCATAAACAAATCAACAAACAAGTGTTAAAGAGGATGCAGAGAAAAGGGAACCCAAGTGCAATGTTGGTGGGAATACAGGCTGGTGCAGCCACTGTGGAAAACAGTATGGTGTTTCCTCAGAAAACTAAAAATGGACCTGCCTTTTGACCCAGCAATTCCACTACTGGGATTATATCCTAAGAGCCCTGAAACACCAATCCAAAAGAACCTATATAGCCCTGGCTGGTATAACTCAGTGGATTGAGTGCGGGCCTGCGAAGTAGATGATTGTGGTTTGATTCCCAGTCAGGGCACATGCCTGGGTTGCAGGCCAGTTCCCAGCAGGGGTCAGTTCCCAGCAGGGGCTGCACCAAAAAAGCAACCATACACTGTTTCTCTCCTTCTCTCCTTCCATTCCCCTTTAAAAATAAATGAATAAAATCTTAAAAAAAAAAAAAAGAACCTATATAGCCCAATGTTCATAGCAGCACAATTTACAATAGCCAAGTGCTGGAAGCAACCCAAGTGCCCATCAGTAAACAAATGGATAAAAAAACTATGGTACAAGCCCCGGCTGGTATAGCTCAGTGGATTGAATGCAGGCTGTGAACCAAAGGGTTGCTGGTTTGATTCCCAGTCTGGGCACATGCCTTGGTTGCAGGCCAGATCCCAAGTGGGGGCCATGTGAGAGGCAACCACACATTGATATTTCTCCCCCCCCCTTCTCTCTAAAATAAATAAAAATTAAAAAAAAAAAAAAACACAAAACACCTATGGTACATTTACACAATGGAATACTATACAGCAGAGAGAAAAAGGCGCTCTTACCCTTTGAAACAGTGAAACAGTGTGGAACTGGAGAGCATTATGCTAAATGAAATAAGCCAGGCAGTGAGGGACAAATAAGCCAAGGGGTAAGGGACAAATACCATATGAACACAATCAATAAAAGAAAAAAGCAAACAAAATATAACCAGAGACATTGAAATTAAGAACAATCTAACAATAACCAGAGAGGAGGAGACAGGGTACAATGCAGCGAAGGGTTTTCAGGAACACATGGACACACAGACAAAACCAAGGGGGAGGGTGGAAGCAGGGGAGGGAGGTGAATTTGGCTGGGCACGGGAAAAAAATGCAGACTACTGTAATTAAACAACAGTAAAGTTACTTTAAAAAATAAAAGAGGAATGCTTTAGTAAATGGTATATTTATAATATAAATTAATAAATGATAACTAAAAAGGAAATATCTATGCCTGTGTCTATACAAAAAATGTCCACTATATATTATACTATATATATATACAACACGTATCTGTAAGGATTTATACCAAATAAAGTATTATATAGACAATAAAAATATTGATTGTTGTTAACAGTTGTTTCCCTCAAACTACTGGGCTGATACTTTCTTCTTTTGGCTTATCTGCAATTATTTAACAGAAGTGAAGGGGAAAAAAGGAGGGTTTTGTTTTACTTTACAAAAAGCCAAAGTATACCAATGGTTGGCTGGCTACTTTTTCTTTTTTTGCAATTTTATGCCTACCTTAAAAACCTGGGTTTTATTATAGTCTACACAGAAATTCTCAAACCCAGCTCCAGAACAGTTACCTAGTAAGTTAAAAGTACAGATCCTTGGCCTCAAACCCAATGATTTTGAGGTGTAGGCTTACATTCAGAAAGTTGTATTATACTTCTATCAAGTTCTCTAAATAATTCAGGCAACAGAATTTACTCATGAGTGAACTGTGAACAATGGAACAGTTGCATCAAAGAATACATGTATATTAAATTTGGGAGAATGCTGAAAATTTATCTCTGGAAAAGTTGCCGTAGCCATTTGACAAGACGTTTACTTGCCTATCCACTATTCCCTCTCACCACTTTCCTAATACAAACATTGTGTTTGTTCAGAGAAGCAAGACAGCTAACCTATGTAAGGAGGGATCAGGAGACTAAAGAGGACATCTGCTGTAGAGCTCTGGATAAAAGTCTTTGCTTTGCTGATTAAAAAACTAAAAGAGAGAGTAAGTGAGTCATGCCCCTAGCCAATGTGGCTCAGCTGGCTGGAGCACTGTCCAGTACAATGAAAGGCTGTGAGTTCAATCTCTGGTCAGAGCACATATGAGAAGGCAGCCAATAGATGTTTCCCTCTCTCACATGATGTTTCTCTCTCTAAAAGCAATGGGAAAAAAATCCTCATTTAGCAGGAGTCAAACAATGTAGCTGTGAAGTGCTGTGCTGTTGTTCCCCCTGCTCAAAATGTAGTTATGTCTTAACTACACTTGTCTGCTATACTCCTGTAGCTGCCAGAGACACTTGATCTCTTACATATCATTAAAAAAAAAAAAAAAAGTCCTCGGGTGAGGATAAAAAGAGACAAACAGAGAGTCACAAATAATATACAGGTATGTTGTACCACTCTTTCTTACCTTGAATGTGAGCATATCTGAAATAACCTATGTACATGAAGCAGTCAATAGGGACTGGCCAGAAAAATTAAAAATGGCAGCCCTGACATCATCAAGATATTAATAACATAGTACAAGATTCATACTTTGTGAGAAAAACAAACTCCTACTTGTTTAAACTACTATCAATTGACAGGTTTTCTATTACTTAAAGACAAATGCATTCCTAACTGATTAACCAGTGCATGAGAATGTCCATTTCTCCAATCTTCCCTTGTCAGCACTAGGTACCATGAAACTTAATTGTTGCTCATTTGTCTTAAGAATAAATAAGTAACCCTGACTGGTGTGGCTCAGTAGATTGAGTACCACCTGCAAACTGAAGGGTCACCAGTTCAATTCCTGGTAAGGGCGCATGCCTGGGTTGCCCACAGCAGGGGGTGCACAAGAGACAACCACACATTGATGCTTCTCTCTCTCTCTCATTCTCCCTCCCTTCCCCTCTATCTATAAATAAATAATCTTTAAAAAATGGGTAAACAAGAGCAGCACTTCACTTTAATTTGCATTTCTCTACCTATGAGGAAAATGAATATCAAGTTCTTTTTTTTCTTCAAAGCCTTTCCACATCCTTTGTTCATATTATCTATTGCATTGCTAATTTTTATTCTCACTGGTTTGTACATGCTCTTTGTAAACTAAGAAAATCAGTCCTTATGATTTACACTGTAAAACATTTTTGTGAGTTTTTCCTCTTATTAGTTTTAGGTTCTTTTGTGTGTACAAAGGCCATCTTTTAAACTGTCATGTACACGTGAAATCCAGACTTTAAATGTTTATTACTTCAAAATGTAGCATGAAGCAAACTGTGTCATAAAATAAATTTAAAATATAAATCAAGAGCCTTTTTGAGACTGAATGGCACAGGAAACATTAGTTGTAACCAGGTAAATCTAGGGAATAAAAAAAAAAAAGAACAAGAAAAATAAAGGAAGCCAAGAAGGGACAAAAAAGTTTTCAATGCCTGATGTTATCTAGCACTCTCCTACATTCTTTGTAAGTTCACACTCAAAGGCAGGGGTGTCTAACCTTTCAGTGTCTCTGATACAGGGCGCAGCCAAGGGGGGGGGGGCCAAAAAAGATTAGGAATGGTGTTCAGAATTCAAAGTGTATAGGAATACTGGAGAGACATATAAGATGTCCCCCTCACCCCTTCCCCCCTACAGGTGTGAGTTGGGGGAAGGAACAAATAGAGCTAGGGCCATTGAGAGCTATTTTGCAGCTAACCTCTGGAATGATTATTTAACTTATCTATAACCTTTAACTGGCTTCATAGATATATTAAATAGCTGTGGCCAAGTTTTGAGTAAGGAAGAAGGTAGTGACTTCTATCCAGGATGTAACTAGGGGCTGGGCCCCTGAGTGAGAGCACCTGAGTGAGAGCCTGGAAAAGATGGGCTCCAGGACATGAGGCCATAACTGCCCAGGTGAGGAGGGAGCCACGGAGTTTCAGCAAAGTAAGGGTCCCCTCTTGGGGAGAGGAAAGCCATGCGGTTTGGGGCAGAGTGAGGACCCCTGCAGTCACATAGGGGAGAACCATGCAGTTTTGGCGAGAGGGCACACCCCTACAGCCAGGTGAAAGAGAGCCATGTGGTTTTGGCAGAGTGCGGACCCCTCTTTCCCAAGTGAAAGGGAAAACCACGCAGGTTTGCCAGAATGGAGATCCCTGCAGCCAGGTGAAGAAGAAAGCCACATGCTTTTGGTGGAATGCGAACCCCTGCAGCTTTGGTAGAAGAGGCCCACATGGCTTTGGCTGCGTGGCCTGGAAAGCAGGAGAGACTTTGACTGGAACTGGGCACAAAGAACTCTTGCCAGTGGACTGTGAGAGGGTACGACAGTACTTTGGATTAACTCGAGATCCTGCCTGACAGAGCTGACGATACCAGCGGCCTGAAACACAGACGTGTGCTCTTTTCCTGATTTACAGTACCCAGAGTTGGGACAGTGGGAGAAGGGAGCGCTGTGTGGGTGTGGGTGTATACCCTAAAGGACTTTGATATTTTAGTGGAGGCGTTAGGCCTGAATAGCATTAAATAAACATTTCGTTTCCCTTTCACAAATCTCTAGCATTGAGAGATGTCTTTCCAATTGGCAGTGGACAGAAGAGCCCAGTTGATATTAGTATTCTGTCCTTGGGAGGGACCCCTGTTCTGTAGCAGTTTTTGGCATCCCTAGGTGGGCCAAATATTACCCCCCACATCCCCCCACTCAGACCTCTGTTCAGTAACATCTCTAGGCCATACTAGAAGAAGACTGCTCTTGGGCTACACATTAAAGACACAAACATCAACAAAAAATGACAAGGAAAAAAGTCCATGTATAATTTTCGTGATATCTACCACCACAGATAAGCAAAAAAGTCCTCACATAATAACCTTTATTATTCAGCAGCCCTTCTGATAATCTTTTAACATCATCAAACAGGTCCCAAGTTTGTGATTACTAATATAGAAAATGTATACACCTAAGTAATAAACCTTAGTAACTTTATGTTTTTGTGTTGGGCTACATTCATAGCCATCCTGGCCATGGGACTAGTCGGAAAGAGAGAAACATGGAAAACAATAAAAGAGAAAGAATTTCAAATGAAACAAAAAAGATTAATAAACTGAAAATTATAAGCATTTAGAAAAGCTTCATGAAATATATAACTGTTAATTTTGAAAAACTATAGGTTTTGAAATAATAGAAAAAGTAACAAATTACCACAGAATAGGGAACTGCTCATTTAACTTATGGGCTCAAAACTTCTTGACACTTCCCAAGAAGTCAGAAATTAGGATTAGTTCGAAGACCAGACAGACTGAACAGAATGAAGAGGGTCTGCATTATGGAAGTGGAAAGGTTAAGTGGTGGAATAAGCAGGGTAAAGCCAGAGGCATTTGAGAAGAAATGTTAAAAGAGGAAAATTTACAGAAGGTTTTGAGAGGTTTGGGAAGAAATGACAGAAGAAATTCTACAGAGGAATTTGAAAAGAAAAAAATACAAGAAGCAAATCTAGTTGGAACAGAATAAAGGAGAACCCAAAGCATTAAACTACCAGAAAAAAAAAACAGGTTCCCTTCTTCTTGACTGTCATACACTTCTTTTCCAGATTCAAACCATTTGCGGCCCTAGAAATAAAACATCAAAAAAGCTTCTCCATTTATTTCCCTCTCTTCATTCTTCTTTAAAGACACAGTTGAAGATTGTGCATTTGCAAATGCATCTCTAATTTCCAAAGGCAAATTACTCACTGTTTTGTGTCTTTTATCAAAAAGCAAAAGAAAATTGCTGGTTGATACATTCTGTGTCATTTACTACCTACCCTATTCTAACTGCATATTGAAATACAATGTAAGGGTTTCTTCTAGAATCCGCAAATTTACCATATTCCTGCATCTTCAGATTATCAATTACTCCATGGCAATTACAATGTTGTAAAAAGAATTAAGACCATCAGCCTTACCCATAAGAAAAATCACCAAGCCAAAAGAATAGTTATTTTTTAATGTTATTCCAAAATATTCTTCATTATGTGGCAATTACTAGAACCAGCTCTTCTTAACAACAACCATAACTTTCAACTAACATTAAATGACAAATGGGTAAAAATAGAAATAATCTTTCAAAAGAAAGCCAACATATAATAGTAAAATGAAGACAAAACCAACAGAATAGTTACCAGAAAGACACTTTCTCATTCATAGGCAAATGCTCCCCTACAAAGGTGTCAAATGCAAAAAAATGAAGTTGGACACTTACCTTAACACCGCATAGAAAAATTAACTCAAAATGCATTAAAAACCTTGGTTTTGGTAAAACCAAAAACTCTTGCTCTGGCTGGTGTAGCTCAGTGGATTGAACATAGGCCTGCAAACCAAAGGGTTGCCAGTTCAATTCCAAGTCAGGAAACATGCCTGGGTTGTACAGGCCAGGTCCCCAGTACAAGGCATGTGAGAGGCAACCACACACGGATATTTCTTTCTCTCCCTCTCCTTCTCTTCCCCTCTCTCTAAAAATAATAAAATTTTTAAAATTAAAAAATGAAACACCCCCCCCCCAAAAAAAACCTCTTGGAAAACATAGGAGAACAGCTTCAATGATACTAAGCTTGGCAATGGTTTCTTGGATATGACACCAAAATCACAGGCAACAAAAATGAAAGTAGACAAATGGGCCTACAGCACACCTTAAAACTTTTGCACATCAAAGGACACAAGAGAGTGAAAAGGCAACCCACAAAATAGGAGGTATCTGCAAATCTTTTCACATCCAGGATATGAAAAGAACTCCTAAAACTGAACAACTGAAAAGAAATCAATTAAAAAATGGGCAAAGCACTTTCTCCAAAAAATGATACACAAATAGCCAATAAGCATATGAAAAAAATGCTCAACATCACTAATCATCAGAAAAAGCAAATCGAAAGCATGAGATATCCCCTCATACACAGTAAAGTGGCTAATAGCAACAAAATAACAGAAAATATCAAGTTTTGGTGAGGATGAAGAGAAATTGGAATTCTTGGGCACTACTGGTGGGTCTGTCAAATCACCATAGAAAACAGTACAGAGGTTCCTCAAAAAATTCAAAATAGCCATCCATGGCTGGTGTGGCTCAGTGGACTAAGCACCAGCCTAAGGACCAAAGGGTTGCCGCGCACAAGAGGCAACCAACACATTAATGTTTCTTTCCCTTTCTTTCTCCCTCCCTTGCCCTCTACCTAAAAATAAATAAAGTCTTTTTTAAAAATTTCAAAACAGAACTACCATGAAATCCAAAAATCCAACTTCAGGTATATATCCAAATTAACTGAAAACAGGATCTCAAGAGACTTCTGCCAAGATGGAGGCATAGGTGGAGACGCTGTGCCTTCTCTC